TCAGCCATAGTTTGTTATGATCTACACAGTCAAATGCCTTTGCATAGTCAATGAAACACAGATAGACATTCCTCTGGTACTCCCTGCTTTCAGCCAAGATCCATCTAATATATCAGCTACAATAATGGCAGAGAATGAGCAAAGAGAATCCAGGAATGCAGGATGTACTCAAAAAGGGGGTTTCCTGCCTCTTCTGTGTTTCAACCCTTTGACTGCGGCTCTTTGTTAGCAATTCTCTTACATGTGTTCCCACAGGAGTGATGCAAAAGATGAGAAGCCCTGCAGTGCAGGCGGGATACGAGCTCTGCCCTTCAGTGAAAGCCGTGACACCCCATAGCAGAGGAAAATTCTGACTCAGAATGTTAGGTTGGGACAGCATTTCTGCATTTCCCTGCCCTTCTGTGTCCGAGCAGGGCTAGGCATGGGGGGCCAGGAATGGGGAAGGTTCTGAGGCAGGTCAGGCTGCAGAGCTTCTTAATTAGAAACAGGAACTAAGGAAACTGTAAAGGCAGCTGGAGAAAGAAAATCTTACACACAAAATCAGGCTTGAAGGGGTGCCCTAAGCCTTGCCTATAGTATTCATATTTAAAGAATATGTGTTACTTGCATAATGAAAACTTCTTTTAAAAAGAACTCAACACTTATCCCCCCCCCCACACACACACACACAACACTTAAATTTAAGAAAGAGAGATGTCCAAGGAAAAGGAATAGGGAGAAAGAAAAGAAGGAAGGGAGAGAGGCAGCAAAGCAGAACAGTCTTGGAGGTCTCCTCGCAGGGGGTGCCCAAGGAGGCTGGACTGAGGCCAACGGGGTGGGGCTCTGGAGCAATGGGAGACATGTGGAGCAAACAGCAAGCGGGAAGGAAAATGCCTCAGCCCCAAATTCCAGGGCCACGGCATAAGGAAATAAAATAAATAATAGAATTATGAAAGATGACATGCTCCTTTAGAAACAGAAAATGACTACAAGCTAGCCAGGTCCATAGTGCCTGTCAGTCAGATGGAGGTCCCAGTTCCCACCAACACATAAGGGAGAAGAACTAGGCTCAGAAACCCAGGTGGTCTCTTTCTTCCCAGTTCCTCTCTGCCAGCCAGGGCTGTGGAGAAATCTACTGTATCAGAGTTAGAAAGATAAAAATGTTGAGAGGTACTCCAGACAGACCACCTACAGTCACTGCCTTCTCTCAAACTTTCTACCAATGCAAGGCCACCCCACTTCTCCCTGGGCGCATTCCCTTTCCAACCTGAATTGCTCCTCAAAGGGAAAGAACACGCTTCCTACATATTAGGGAAGACTTCCTGAGGGTTTCTTTTGGGGAGAACCCCCATAGAGGATGCAGATCACTTCTTTTGGGAGGAAGATGACTTCTAGATGTGTAGTTTTGTCCATTGGGCTGGGCTGAACTATGAGAAAAGGCCATTACCCAGCTTAGCAGGAGGCAGGCAGCTCTTCTCATTTCTCCTGGTTCACCTATCTGCATTGCGTGCACACCCTATAGGTCTGCGGGCTATTCAGTTCTGGGGGTCCCTAAAGCGGGTGGAGGAGAACGCCTTCCACAGATTGGGCGGGAGGCGCTGCAGGACTGTAGTTCGCGAGTAGGAGGGGCAGGGCAGTTAGTTACCTCATTGAAGCCCTCCTGCAGGACGTCCAGTAAGTTCCCCCGGGTCAGGCAGGCTAGCATTGTTCCCTCCTGGGGTTCCCCCGGCAGGGCTTCCAAGCCAGCCGGTCACCGTCACCGCTGCCTCCACTTCTTCCTCCTCCCTCTTCACACAAAGACTCAGCTCAGTTCATTGGGATCTCTGGGGAGTCGGAGTCCCGCATGCCACTTACTGGAAAGCTAGGCTAGAGCCAAACTAACGGCTTCCACTGGGCATGCTCGCTCTGGAGCCTCTGCTGGAGGGGCCCCGACGCTGCCGCTGCCGTGGTTCCTATAGAAACAGCGGGGCGAGCACAGGATAGAGGGAAGCCTGTAGGCGGGCGTGCTAGTGAGAGCACTGCGGTGGCAGGAGGGTATGCGCGCGCGCGCACACACACACACACACAC